ATACAATCAGCACCTTTCTTAATAAAGTTTGTGGAGTGTAAAAAAAGATCATGGGTTTGGGCATCAAATCAATTTTTCAGATCACTCTCTGAATCCATCAGTTTCAGGTGGGTTTTTTTTTTGTTGGAGTCTTGTTCTCTCACCCAGGCTAGGGTGCAGTGGTGCAATCCCAGCTCCCTGCACTTCCGGTTCTGTCTCCCGAGTTCAAGCAATTCTCCTGCCTCAGCCTTCCAAGTAGCTGGGACTACAGGCCTCTGTCACCACACCCAGGTAATTTTTTGTATTTTTAGTATACACAGGTTTTCGCCATGTTAGTTGGCCAGGCTGGTCTCAAACTCCTGGCCTCAGGTGATCCACTCACCTCAGCTTTCCAAAGTACTGGGATTACAGGTGTGAACCATTATGCCCAGCCCAGTGGTGTGTTCTTGAGCAAAATATTTAACCCTTTTCAGGTTTCTTTTCCTCATTTTTTCCTTTTTTTTCTTCATGTGTGAGACACGGTGTTGCTCTGTTTCCCAGGCTGGAGTGCAGTGGTGCAATCACAGCTCATTGCAGCCTCTACCTCCTGGGCTTAAGCAATCCTCCAGCCTCAGCCTCCAAAGTAGCAGGAACTATAAGTGTGTGGCACACACGTGGCTAAATTCCTTAAAAGATTTTTGTGGAGATGGAAGCACTGTATTTTTCCCCGTCTTTTAGATGAGAATACTGGCACCTATCTCAAAGACTTGTGAAGATTAATTGAGATAATGAATACATGCCCAGTACGGTGCGTGACTCAAAGTTGACACTGAAAATAGTAGGCATTATTTTTATTATCTGTCACTCCAAGTAGAAGGAAGGTATTGAATGACAAAGCATTCAGTGGGAAATAATAATGGATAGTCCACTGTCACGCAGAATGGTGAGGAATATGGCTGGGTACTAACAAAAGCATTATGTTATTTATACAGGCTGATTTCCCTATTTTGTGGGCTATGAAATTTGGTTGCTTTAGAGATAGTATGGTTATTAGACATCAGTGAAAATAAACACACTGTGAAAATTTATAGGAAAATACATTTAATTAAGTGCTATCTGAGCCACCCACACTGTGAACAAGGATTCTGGCAACAAAGGGTTACTGTTGTCAAGTTCCTGCCAAGCGTTATTTTCCTAAGTTAGCATGTTGGTGGTGGTGTTGGCGGCGGTGTTTTTTCCGCCCAAAACCTAAACAAAGAATTTCCGATGGCACTATGGAATGAGAAAGCCTCCTCACCATAGACCAAAAGTCTCCCAAAGTCCAAAGAAGATTGGGAAATCCTTTAAAAATACTGCATTTGGATGGAGGAAGGGGGTGGGTACCACAGGAAATGTAAAGTAGGAGATATTGGTTATTAAACCTGAGGGTAAATTTTTTTAGGATATTAACTCGTTTCTTAACACTTAGAACGTGCTTACCTCCATCCCCAAGGAAGAACACCAGTGCAAGACCTGTGCAAAGTACAAGGTTCTCACTAAGTGCGAGCTGGACTGAGCAAACTGACCCCCAGAGCAGAGAGTAAGTACACAGAAATGACATCAAAAACAATACCCAACTCCTGAAGCACTTCTGCATGTTTCCGTCTCTGTGCATGGGTATCATCAGATTTAACGCTGCAATATCCCCATGACAACCTCATTTCATCCTCGATTTTTAGCTGTGGAAATTCAGTCTCAGAGAGGTTAAAGCCTATGCCTTTCATCACAGAGCTAGTCAGACACAGAGCTGGGATCGACCCAGATTCATCTGACTTCCACCGTCGTATTCTACCACTGCACTGAGAAACGTGAGCAAAGTCCTAAATACTCCACCATCACATCAATAGGTTACTAAAACAATCAATGCGTAAGATTAAGCTTGGCCCGCAGAGGAATTCTGGCTGATATGAAGCTACAGTTAAGAAACTCAGGAAGATACGTACTGTGTTGGGAAATCACAGGACATTCTATGTAACAAAGTTCAATGTTATGGGGTTAAAAATAAAGCACGCAACAAGCCGGTTAGGGCCACATGTGTAACGGAGCCTCCCCATTTCCACTAGAGGAGCCGAGTGTGCAGGGATGTGGTGCAGAGCCCTCATGCAGCCTTATGCCCGTATGCAGTTTGCACACCCTTCTTTCTCCTTAGGTAGTGGAAAAAAATGCAGACAGACAAGTTTAAAGGATAACTGTAAACATTGTTTAATTGTTAAATATTCTTGATGTATGACAGAGACAATGCCAGAGGTCACGTTTTCATAACTCTTTAGAAAAAGAAGCTACTACAGTAAAGATCCGGAAAGCATCTAATTATAGGCTGAGCCATGAGAGTGACCTGCCTCCCCCCCAGGTGTCCAGCATCCTTTAGCCTTATCCTTTATAAGCTGAAGACTGCTGTGTCACTCCCAAAGTCTCTACTGAGCTGCAAAACCATATATCCACTTAGCTTTCAGATGGCTCCAGCTACATGTCACAAAAAGTTCAAATTCAATATATCAAAAATATCCAAAATTGAGCTCATAATCTTGTAGTCCAGATACATTCTTTCTTTGGTATCCCCTATTCTAGTGAATAGCCCAGGTATTCTTATAGCCAATCATGCTAGACACCCAAGGGTCAACTCGGACTTGGACTCCCCTCTATCTTCTTCTCTCTACGACTGAGTTCTCTCATATTTGCCTTTGCATATTTCCTGATTTCATCTTTCTCCTTCTCTCTCTCTCTCTCTCTCTCCCTCTGCCCAGAAGTGGTGCCTTTAGTTCATCATTATTTCTCATCTGAGTTAAACCAAGTTCCCCACTTATTCTCCCTCTAGTCTTGTTCCAACATAATCCATTTTCCATGCTGCATCCAGAATGGTCTTTATGAAATCTAATCTGGTCCTTTCACTCCATTGACTCTAGACACTTCTGTATAAAGTCCAAAAGTCTTCACATGCCATACAAGATCCTTCATGATCTGTTACCTACCCACCTCTCCATTTTTGACCCCTGTCCTTCCTACCCTGTGCCTCCACAAGCTAGTCAAAGCAAACTCCACACTTCATCTCAAATGGCCTTCACTCTCATCTCTGTGCTTATTCTCCCATACCTGTCACACTTTTCCCTGGTATGCCCTCCACACTCCTATGCATGGTAAGGTCTCTTCTAGGATATGTGGACTCAGTCCTCATCGCCTTCTAGTGACTGTGCCCCTCTGTCGTGGTTCTTACCATATTGTGTTGTGATCATCTTCAAAGCTAGCATCCCAAAAAACAGACATGGATTACTCATCTTTGTATCTATTACCTAGTAGAGTCCATGCCATAACAGGTAGTTAATAAAAGTTTGTGGAATGAATTAATCTAGAAAAGAAAAAAGGAAAGCAAAAAGGGACACCATATGTTGGAGAGAGTTTATTTATAGGTACATTTAACAATTGTGAGACACAGGTGATCTACTACATTTCAGAGTTTGAGACTTCAACAGGGAACTAAGAGGAATAAGGGAAGCCTGACCTCAAAGATGTAAATAACATAAGGATCACAATTGAAATATTTTATTGCCTAAAGGGACAAATATATCATCAACTGAAGTGTAAACTAATCCATAAATATCCCAGGTCTAATAGTGTCTGGCATAAAGCCTTGGAAGAAATGAACATACCCTGCACTGTGCTCTGGTGGTAACCCTTGACAAAAAGTGACACCAGCCTACTGGAAATTTTCTCCATGTACAATAATTTCAGCCACAAAAGAAGCAGTGGTAAAAATAATAATGATGAAAGATAAATACATAATGGAAAAATGAATGGATAGATGAAGAGATAGATGATAGATAGAGGGATAGATAAGATAGAATAAATGGATGATTGATAAATAGATGATGGATAGATAAGTGATGGATAGGTGATAGGTAGATTAAATAGATAATAGATTAGATAGGTAGATAGATTAAATAGATAATAAATGATGGCTAGGTAGGTGATACATACATACATACATACATACATACATACATACATACGTACACACATACATACATAGACGGACAGGCTAGCCATAGCTCTTTTGCTGATGAAACTGCAGTGGCACAGCAGTGTTGCCAAAACAAATGCAGGCAAAAAATATGGACATTTGGAAGGTGGAAACCAATGGACTGTCAGTTGGATCAGCTAAAATAAAATGTATGGTCTGATCCCACAGGAGGGTGATGTCTGTGGAGGACCAGCCACCTTGTGCAAAAGCTGGGAAGAATGAGAGGAAAAACTAGACTAGAACTAAACAAGTAATGAGAAAAACAGAAGATGGTAAAGATGAGGATCTAAGGTAATAGCAGCAAGGGTGTTGACCATTAGCAAAACCAGAGCAGAGAGAAAAGATATATTCACACTGAAATTAGAGAAGAGAATGCTGCATTAGTCCCAGAGACACAGATGTGGAAACAGCCCAACACTCAGGACTTGCACTTCTGGCCATGATGAAGTAACAGGGATCAGATTCACCCTCTTACCTTAAACAACAACAAATGGAAACCATTTAAAATAATTTCAGACACTAGACAAGAAGCAGCAGAGGACAGTGATACCTGCGAAAAGGGAAACAAACAAGGTGAGCCCTGAGATGCTCCGGCTTATCAGGTGAGAGTGTTTACAGTTAAGTGATGGTGCAGAAAGACAGAGCCTAAACAAAGCCTTGTGGTTTGTGGACACAGGTGAGAATTCAGGGATGTCATGCTGGCTAACCCTGCAGAGGAGAGTAATGGGGAAAAGAGAGCTCCACAGGGAAGAGAGATGCACAGAGAGATCTGCACAGAAGGAGAGCCTGGAGATGGAAAGGGTACCTACTCTTCAGCTGAGTACTGGTCAGGGCAGGGATGTGAAGAAGCTTCACGAGGAGTGAGCGGGAATACTCCCTGAGCTACAGGGGGCAAGGAACATTGATGTTCCCATAGCCAGAATGGAGAAACCTTGTAATACATGGGGCACTGTGTAACCTCAAAAGGGAAAAACTACCCCTAGAGCATATTCTTTTGTGGTTCATAAGTGCAATTGGGTTTTTTGCTCATGTCTGAGACGTGCCTTTCTCAAACCTTGTTATGACATCAGCACATCATCCATCTGACATGGAAAAAAAACATCCCTGCACCAAAGGCTGCTCTGGTTCTGTCTAACCATGCTTGAAAGCAAACTTCAAAAACATCAACTGATTCCAAGCAACTTAACTGTGTCCCAGAACAAAGTCCAAGAATATTTAAAAGAATACAAAAATATCTGCCATCCACTCAAAAATTACCAGACATGCAAAGTAGCCTGGGAACATAATGGATAATGAGGGGGAGGGAAACTGATCAACATAAACTGATCCAGAAATGACATAGATGAAGGAGTTAGTAGGCAAGGATGTCAAAACAGTTATAACTACATTCCATATGTTCAAGAAGGTGGAGAAAAATATGAGCATATTAAGGATATAAAAAGATATTTTAAAACAGCCTTAAAGTTGAGAGAGGAGAGGCCGGCTGCAGTGGCTCATGCCTGTAATCCCAACACTTTGGGAGGCCAAGGCCTGCAAATCATGAGGTCGGGAGTTCAAGACCAGCCTGGTCAACATTGTGAAACCCCCCTCTACTAAAGATACAAAAAATTACCTGGATGTGGTGGTGTACACTTGTAATCCCAGCTACTCAGGAGGCTGAGGCAGGAGAATCACTTGAATCTGGGGCGCAGAGGTTGCAGTGAGCTGAGATAGCGCCATTGCACTCCAGCCTGGGTGACAGAGACTCCATCTCAAAAAAAAAAAAAAGTTGGGAGAGGAGCACCTCAAAGCTTGAGGTGTCTCTGATCTGTTAAAAACAAGGTAGAAACATCTGCTTTCCTTATCTAGTGTGATCATTCCAGGTACTTTCCAAACAAGTAGACTTTTGAGAATGAAAGGCGTGCTGTTAATAATGAGCTTGGGACCATCAGCATAAATGGAGACTTCCTTGGGTTGATTGTGACATATGACGAGGCCAGCATTTCCTCCCAAAGCTTAACAATATTTAACAGTGTGTAGGGCATGACCACCACCAACAACTGACATTATGAAGTTTCAGTCTTTAAAGAGATGGCCTCTGCCTCTGGAAACCCTCAGCTGTGCCTACTAATGCACACCACATATCTCTCCATAGTAAATTTGTCCTTTGCAGTCCTCTCCATTTAATCCACGGCTGACTCTGACCTCTCTCTACTGTGCTGTGCCTGACTCTTTCACTGAGAGTCTCGGGCTCAGTCTTTACAATCCTTGACCCAATCAAACTTAGCTGACCCTAGTCTCGAACCCACAGGACGATGCTGCTACTGCTTAATGGTAGCTAAAATGAAAGAGTTGTGGAAGAGTTAATGAGTTACCCCTCCTTGGTAAGGAACTTACAGTAAAGGTACCGCTACCTTCCTGGCTTTGCACAACAGCCCTCCAGTTATACCGAACCAAGTTTGCCTAAGTATTGGCAACCCGTCAAGTGGGATCTGTAAATACTCTAAATTATTTGTGCAAGTCAAAATATTCAGGGTGCCAAAGAGAGAGACAATCGCTTGCAAGGTAAGTGACAAGTCTTGTGGCATCTTCAAGTCCCGATCTAGTGGGGAGAAATTTCAGTCCAATGACACAGAAAGAAAAGACCCTGGGTGTGTTGGGGGCTGGAGTGCCTCCCTTTATTTCCACAAGCCTCTGCTCCTGTGAATAATGCAATGATCACAGATCCTGACTTCATGTTATGACCTGATTGAAACCCAGACCCAAACCTGTCCTGGAGCATGTGATAAACCAGATGAGCCTGGAGCTCAGTTGTCACCACCTTCTCAAACACAGGCATCTTAATTAAAAAATTATAAGCTATACTTTTGCCAAGGATTCAGATAAAACATCAAAAGGGGGAAAAAGAGTGTCTTTCTTTCAGTTAAAGGGGAGGTTCAAGATTGGGGGATAAGATTAGAAAATCAGGTAGAGGTGACTCCAGAGATGGACCAAAGCTGAAGCTCATCTCCAATGAGGGGACTTTTCCCATTTTGGAGAGAGATTGCACTGTAGTGATGACCATGAGCATAAGCAAGCCTCTTCTCACCATTCCTCAACCTTATCTTTGAAAACAGGCCTGTCCCAGCATGTGGAGAAAATATACAAAGCATGTTGAGCTGAGATAGGAATCTGAATGCTGTGGAAAACAGCCAAAAAAGTGGCATCTTCTCTGCCACTGACAATCCTTTGCATCCCTCTGCTCCTTGTGGGTAAATGAGAGATGGAAGTCAGCCTTGGCTCGTAGCAGAAAACAATTGTAACCCAGGGTGCCTCTACATTAGTGGGGAAACGTCCAAGTGCTTGATCGTCAATGCAGGAAGAAAACGTCTGATTTGTTGGCATCAGACCTAGTCTTTGGATGGGAAAACTAATGAACATCAACCCTGAAGACAAGAGACAAACATTCCTTCTCCAGAAATATACTGACAGTGACCTTATAGTCCTTCAAACATTGGGGCCTTTAAAATAAACAGACTTTTGTAAAACGTCTAATTAACAGCTAAAGGTTTTAAGTGAAGACTGTAATATTAAGAAGACAAATGATTGGATTTCATTTATCTTCAATGCTCTAAATTTTTGCTACTTCTATCTTGGCCTATAGGATGAACACATCCTGGGAACTTAGGCTAACCCAATCAGAACCAGGAGCAACCCAACCAGCAGATAAAGTTGAATAATGACTCTCACCAAACTTCCCTTCACTTTGGTGCCCAGAATTTGGTTTTGTAAAACATTCAGACATCTGTGCTTCTCCAGTTAGAATGTGCTTTACTTCTATAGCTATGCACAGGTAAACCAGGAGATTTGAATCTATACAATATACTGAGAGCATCTTTTTACAGCAAGTTTCACTTGAAGATTTAGGGGAAGGGGTGTTGAGAAATGTTCTTTTACTTTAAGAGCAAGTCCAATGCTTTGAATATTAAAGTATGAATGACTTATAAGACTATGCCTAATTTGCAAGAAATTTGAATATAAAGCACAAGACTTCTTGGTATTTTACTTTATGATGGGCTTTTGGGATCCTGATCTGTAATCTTTCTGCAATATCAACACAGCCTTTCCATTTCAGTCTAGAAGTCTGATCCACACTGCCCTACATAGACGGTGAAGCTCTGAAGAACATGTGCCTTACACTTGCTCCTGGTTCATTTGTCATTGTTCATCATAGATCTCAGAGACACCCGAGAGAACCAAGCATCACCAACAGTGACTGATATGCTTTGGCTGTGTCCCCACCCAAATCTCATCTTGAACTGTAATCCCCATAATCCCCACAAGTCATGGAAAGGACCCGGTGGGAGGAAATTGATTCACTGGGGTAGTTTCCCCCAAGCTGTTCTCGTGATAGCGAGAGTTCTCACGAGATCTGATGGCTTTATAAGCATCGGGCATTTCCCTGCTTGCATTCATTCTCTCTCCTGCCACCTTATGAAGAGGTGCCTTCTGCCATGATTGTACGTTTCCCTAGCCATGCAGAACTGGGAGTCAATTAACATCTTTTCTTTATAAATTACCCAGATTTGAGTATTTCTTCATAGCATTATGAGAAGATGTGAATACAGTGACCAGTTACGAAGGAGAAGTGCCGGACTGCACAATCTTATCAATTTCATGAACCAGGTCTTACAGAAATGGTATGGAGATGTCTCCAGATCAAATCAGAAAATCCTGACTCCATGAGGAGCCAGGCACAGTGACTCCCACCTGTAACCCCAGCTATTCAGGAGGCTGAGCAGGAGGATCACTTGAGCCCAGGGATTCGAGGTTACAGTGAACTATGATCATACTACTGCCCTTCAACCTGAGTGATAGAGGGAGACCCCCATCTCTTTTATATATATATATATTTTATATATATATATATATATATAATATATATATATTTATATATATATAAATATATATTTTAATATATATATTTTATATATATAAATATATATATATTTTATATATATAAATATATATATATTTAATATATATATAAATATATATATATTTAATATATATATATATGAGGGTAGAGATCTTTATTTTGCTCATGAACTTATCCACCAAGCACATAGAATAGTCTAGCTTACAGTACCTGCTTTGTAAACATATGTTGAAAACTGATTGTATATGCCACTTCCCCAAACATTATTTTCTAATTATCTTCCCAAATGGGTAGTTAGATGAAAATCAGCTGTCTCTTGTACCATTCTACATTTATGAGGAATCAAAGGTATGCTATAAGGAATGGGGAGTGTGAGTAACTAGTTTGAAGGAAGAAAGTAAGCAAGGTTTTCAGTGTTTGTGGATGGACATATAGACATCCTGTCCCCCTTGGAGTCATTGGGAATTTGGCATCATTTCCCAGAGCCAATAACTTGTCCTGTTGAGAAGCCTCTTCCTTGCTTCATCAGCCACTTAACAACTCCTGTGCTCAGCAGTGACACTCCCTTTCATCCACTCCTGATGAGGTTGTTTCCTGCCTGGCTGAACCAGGGGCTTAGCTGGAAGTAACCTGGCCAAGATTTAACCAGGAAAAGACTGAAGCTGGGTGCCTGAACTGAGGAAGCAGAAGTGACCTCTTCCATGTATAGATGGGATACATTGAACCCTTGCCATTGACAGTGACAGCATTAGGTCACAGAACTGTGGGCTAGAAATCAGGACACCTGGGTGCCAGTGCTGGCTTCTGCAATACATATCTGGGGCTATTAGGAGGATCAAAGCTTTGGGGAGGGGGCGAGCAGGGGATCTGAGGGAAGTTTTATTTTCCTCATCTGGAAAATGATGAGGTTGGAATTGATCATCTCCAGGGTCCTTTCAGCTCTAATTTAATGTTGCTCCAGGCATCTCTGAGGATTTCTGAAATAACCTGAATACCATCTGTGCTGGTGTGGATGGAGGTCGCTACCTCTTCTTCCAAATGCTGGCTGAGGTGACTCTCCGGTGGATTAACCAGAACCACAATTGGTGAAGAAGCTGAGGCTGAGTGCTGAGGGCAGATGGCAAGAAAGGGCGACGCAACCTGTCTGCAACACTGTTGAAGATGCTTAGCCCAGCCGTGACTGCTGGTGTC